TGAATCTAACTGTTTTCATCATAGACAGATCTCACTTACTTACTTACTTACTTACGCCTGTTACCCTCGTCGAGGGGCATAGGCCGATCACCAGCATTCTCCATCCAACTCTGTCCTGAGCCTTCCTTTCCAGTTCTTTGCAGTTGCTATTCATTCTTTTCATATCTGCTTCTATTTCCAGGCGTAGTGAGTTCTTTGGCCTTCCTCTTTTCTGCTTCCCTTCCGGATTCCTAATTAGGGATTGAGTCGTGATGCACATTGGTGATTTTCTTAATGTATGTCAGATCCCCATGTATGTATTTCTCCCCACTTCCTGTGATTCAGATTTTCGAACCTGTTTCAAACATCAATCTCATCTTAATTAACTGAAGTATCTGGACTTACTTACTTACTTACGCCTGTTACCCCTTGTGGAGGAGCATAGGCCGCTCACCAGCATTCTCCATCCAACTCTGTCCTGAGCCTTCCTTTCCAGTTCTTTGCAGTTGCTATTCATCCTTTTCATATCTGCTTCTATTTCCCGGTGTAGTGTGTTCTTTGGCCTTCCTCTTTTCCGCTTCCCTTCCGGATTCCTAATTAGGGATTGAGTCGTGATGCACATTGGTGATTTCCTTAATGTATGTCCGATCCACTTCCAACGTCTTTTCCTAATTTCCTCTTCAGCTGGAAGCTGGTTTGTCCTCTCCCATAAAACGCTGTTGCTGATACTATCCGGCCAATGAATGTTGAGTATTTTGCGTAGACAGCTGTTGATAAATACTTGAACCTTCCTGATGATGGCCGTAGTAGTTCTCCACGTTTCAGCTCCATACAGTAGGACTGTCTTGACGTTCGTATTTAAGATTCTGACCTTGAAATTGGTTGAGAGTTGTTTTGAGTTCCATATGTTCTTCAATTGTAGAAATGCTGCCCTTGCTTTGCCAATCCTCGCCTTTACATCTGCATCCGATCCTCCTTGTTTATCAACGATGCTCCCCAGGTACTTGAATGTTTCCACCTCTTCCAGAGTTTCGCCATCAAGTGTGATTGGGTTGGTGTTCTCCGTGTTGCATTTGAGAATCTTGCTTTTTCCTTTCTGAATGTGGAGACCTATCGATGCGGAGGCTGCTGCTACATTTGCTGTCTTCATCTGCATTTGGTCGTGTGTATGAGAGAGGAGGACTAGGTCATCTGCGAAGTCCAAATCATCTAATTGATTCTGAGAAGTCCATTGTATTCCGTATTTCCCTTCGGATGTCGAATTCTTTATAATCCAGTCAATCACTAGAAGGAAGAGAAATGGGGAGAGTAGACAGCCTTGTCTGACTCCGGTCCTTACTGGAAATGCATCTGTCAACTGTCCTCCATGAACGACTTTGCACTGTAATCCATCGTATGAATTTTGGATAATGTTGACAGTCTTTTCAGGAACTCCATAGTGTCAAAGAAGTTTTCATAATGTTCTCCTGTCCACGCTGTCAAACGCCTTCTCATAGTCAATGAAGTTGACGTATAGTGATGAGTTCCACTCAACTGATTGTTCAACGATGATCCGTAGTGTCGCAATCCAGTCTGTGCACGACCCATCACTTAAATAGTGTTTGATAAATACAAATTCTTCATTCAGGCTTTCATTGGAGTATAGTTTAAGGAATACAGTCAAAAAGGTTTTCTATAGTACTTACTATGTAACTTAATGGAGAGAAGCTGTTGTATTTTAGGATAACGTTTTGCATAACTTATAAATTTCTGTATTCCAGCAAAGATTCTTTCAGGATATTATCAAGAATAACTCGTTAATAATCAATCAGCTTTAATTATAAATTTCCAGTATTAAAAATTGTTTCTTTTCTTGTATGCTACTTATAATACTACTTATATAATACTACTAATGAGTAAAACAAGACTAGTTGTGATATTCCATAATGAGTCCAGGGATATCACATCCTTACGTTTACATATTGTTTCAAGGTTAAATGCACGCTTGGAAATAGTAAACAAAACATGATATTGACGGATGACGATAGTGGACCTTGTTTTAGTCAGAAGGACAGATACATAGATATCTGAAATTTGCGTGCATTTTAAATCCATTTAGTAATTACAGATTTCTGATCAATTTTCAGTCTTCCCTCTCTCATGAAAGATTGAACAAGTTTAGAGAAGGCATATTTATCTAAATTGAACGATCGTAGAATATCACAGGTTGAATAATATGTTTAAAAAAGAAAGAGTGAATAAAAGTAGTTGAAGAAGAAAACACATTTCGTTATTCTATGAAGCAAAGAATTAAAGAAATCTAATATGAAACTTAACTTCATGCAAGTTCTGAAAACATCCTAATTGCGTAAATGCTCACCACGTACTTCATGTCTATGAGAATCATGATAGACCAAACAAAGTCAAACTGACAAAATGGTTCATTAAATATTGTAGTGCCTATAAATATTCATAGTTTAGATCGGAAAGTGATATTTACTGGACAACCATTAAAAATCAGGGATCACCGAAGAGACATTTCGTCCTAGCATGGCGCTTCTCATTAGTGCACATTCACTACTCTGCCATCAAGGGGTAGAACACAGGACCTTCGATCTGATGCTCGAACACCTAACTTATGGATCATATATCCAGTATCGAATGGTGTACACATCTAATTCCAATCAGTTCGAGATATTGGTCTACTGTCTTCCATTACCTGAGGGGAATAACTGTTTCCTAATAGATGTGATTGAACTTCACTGGTTATATTCACTTGGTGTTGACTACTTGTATCTTCCCATTGTTATTTAGGCCTGAAATTTATTCCCAGAGTGAAAATCATCTCTGAGATGCAGGTACATTCAGCTGACGAGTCCCTAATAGGACGACTGAATTCCACTGCAAGCCACTATCCATTTCCATTGGTTATAGTTTCTCTCTATGACTACGGAATTACCTCTAGAAGTTAGTCACCAGTGTTAGTAAAGGGGATTTATGAGGATGGTCATGCAATACCACGAATGTATCAGAATTAGACACGATAACCACTGGATACCGGCTTAGTGATATGACATTTAAGCTCCCCTTGCGAGGCCGAATTTCGTTGGCTCGACCCCCTGACAGTGGTATAGTAGATCCCCACTTCTGAACGATTATGTTCCCATACAAATAACTGTTCAACGCTCCTAGGTTTCCAATGGTAGTCTAGCTAAGTTCAGTTCATGAGTTAAACCATAAAAATCTTACAACCACTACAAATCCCCCATATATATAAATATATCAGGAGTTGATATCGAGTCAAATTCAAAGTAATAAATACAACAAGTAATTACATCCATGCTCTGAAATATTACGTATTTAAAGCTTGTGTTCCTGTATGTATAAGTAACAAAGCAATCAAAACGAGCCCATTTTACACCTGTTGATTCACTAAAATGCTCCATTCTATGTGAAGTCAGAGCTGATGATACTGCCTAGAACGACAATGAAAGCTCTTCACTAAAATCATTTGGCTCAAAGGACTCAACGCTATCAAAATGATAGATGTCATTTACTTGAAATTGGGACATCATAATAATATTGAGGTGCAGGAAAGTTACTGACAAATTTTTGTCATGGTGGCCCTATCAGGTCATAAATATGTTGATTCAGTGTTAACCCCTATCGGGGATTCTAGCTCCCCAAAAATTACTTGGTAAACTTATTATTTTTGTGATTTAATTGTGGAAATTTGAATTTCTCGTTTTTGCTCGAAAAGAGACCGTTGTTACCTTCGGTTTGTGTTTCTCACCTGAAAGGATCATATACGTCATTGGTTTGTTTTCTCTTTTAGAACGCTATTTTGTGACTCTTTTCAAAGGCAATTTTGTGTTGTATATATTACGTATGAGTCCAGCGCCTGCTATTCGTTTTTCTGGACTTATTGTGGAACGATATATTTCCCCTCGGCTGAATCTGATCTTCATCCCATAATTAGCAAGGTTTGGGCGCAGATGGGTAGATTAGCTTCTTCCTGTTATTGGGTTGCTGGTTTATGTTCCGTTCGCCAGTACGAAGGTGATGTCATATTATCTCGAGCATAGCAACCTTAAACCTTCTAGATTGTGTTTAGGTATTGACGACATCTAATAAACTCAGGTACTATCCCACTTGTAATTCATCAGTTGAATGTGATACCATTCCAAATTAGTGAGAAATGGTGAAGATTTGTAGCTCAGGTGGGTGATTTTGGTGGAGTTTTGTTCTCTGAGCTTGATGGTTTGGTCGAGGAACCTTCGTCGTTCTTCTGAACGACATCATCAGCACAAACTTCAACTAGAAATGAAGTATTAGAAGTTCTCTATATATGACTCCCAGTTTGTCCTGTAGGCCTTGATCCTGATTGGTTATTGTTGCGAAGTACCCTCTATTTATTTATTTATTTATTTGAACACATAAATATTGGTACAAAAGGCCACCAGATACATATACGCCACACAAGTTGCTTGATTTGTGTGTGGATTGTGATATTACCTGCGTACCCAGACCGAAGCAGGTGGTTTTTTTAGGGAGCCACACTTGGAGCCTACGATCTAGATCTCTAATCAACAAGGCAGTGAAGCAACGTCAAGAGATTCAGTCTCATGGTAGCCGGTGATCAATGATTGGTTCATACGCCATTTGTTCCCTTAGGATCCTGGAATCCATGTTCATCATTGATTTGGAATCAGGGTTTTCCAACTCCCCTAAGTTGATCCTCCGTTTCCACCAACCCGGTGAAAGCTCCTGCCGGACATTCGCTTTTTGTCCTCTCAATTTTGTAAACAACATACCCGCCACAAGAAGACAGTGAGTAGGACTTCCATGTCAGTAGCTATGTGAGAGCATTTCAAGGGGGAGAGAACACTTTCCCCATTCTTTGCCGTACCAGGGCATTTGAAGGTGAAATACCCTCTAAAATTAAAAAATGTACTCATTTACAAGGAAATTATAACTCAATAAAATCTATGCTGATCATTTTCAAATATGTGAGTGATTACTGTCAAACAAATATGCACAAGCTATACTACTACTACTACTACTACTACTACTACTACTACTACTACTACTACTACTACTACTACTACTACTACTACTACTACTACTACTACTACTACTACTACTACTATTACCAATAATAATAATAATAATAACCAATCACATCCATCTCGTTTCCTTGGTAAACATTTTCTGTTTCATTTTTAAAATTATAGACAATATCCATCCCATCGATATATTAGGCAATGAAAATAAGTCATGAAAGTTAGAATTTTCTTTATTACGTCATACAATGTAATTAGACGCAACAATTCTCTCTCTCTCTCTCCTTTACTGTCTGGAAAACAAAGATATGAATAGAAGAAAGAAGTGTATTTACAAATTCATTTGTTACCATGACAATATCTTTATTGAGTATATAACCAGGCAAACCTAACCAATAAGTTAACAAGTATCTATTTTTGATTAAGAAGGGTCCCTATTATAAACAGTCAATATTGATCATTGTAGTAGATGGAATTATAACATTTTAAAGTATTTTACTGGATATGAGATTTGATCTATTCTCTTACATATATATATCAATAGAAGTTATAAGGATTCAAGCTAACAACTCTAGTCTATGCATTTATAAGAAATTTGCATGGTAAGGTTGTAAAAAATTGCTCAGTTATGAATTAATCTAAATTAGAAAACCATTAAACGCAGAGGAAAACTGAAGAACTGTTTTGTCCTAGCATAATATTCCTCAATAATGAGGATCAACTATCTTATTAGAAGGAATCGAATAAAAAACCTTGGATCTGGCATGCTCATGAGTTGCTGTGTTCCTTTTGGGTCATCACATTAGTATGACCATGTGATTAGTTGACTTTTATCTCTTGGATTTAAAAATTAGATTTATATCGTTATGTGTCGATTACAGGTTAACTTAAATAGTTTGACCATATATTCTGACTTTGCGCTTAAGACGAACTTCCTTGCATATGTTGAACAAATGACAGATGAAAATATAGATTTATCTGTAGATGAAGGTTAGGGAATTTCTGTGTACTGGTCATTTGATTTGTAGACGTATCAATTCTGTCTTCTAACAATAGAGGGGATAGTTAGAAGTAGCCAGTATTAAAAAATAGTACACTTCGAGTTACCCCGTTGATTAACAACACTAGAGCTAGGGTCTTAAAAAATATAGAGCTAACACATCAGGAACAACGGACAAAACAGTTGTGTGAAACTGGCCTCAAACTGTCACCATTTAGGATCTATGATCATACTCCAGGGTTGACAAAACCTCTTTCATTTTAATCATTCCAAGTGGAAGTATTCATCCGTAGTGTGGATTATCGAGGAATAACGATTACTCTTCTGCTTCAAATATCTAGAAGATAAACAAAACAGAAGACAATATTGATTTTGAGAAAGAATATATATTAAAATAATTCAGGGACAGGTGAACATGAGGTTATTGAGTTGAATGTCTAAAGGTGAATAAGTGTTTTACCTAGTCTGTGCTAGTCTCTAACCTCATTGCATGACCGAAAACCTGAGTTAGTAATGTTCGTCAACACTAACAAGATCAGAATCAGCTTCAAATGCCAACAAAGTTATTCATTTAGGGCAGTTATCTATCACCAAACACTCGTATTCCTAAACTTTTAAATACCTTATCAAATATGATTCTTCTCTCAAATTGAGGTACCATGAAATGTTTTTGAGATTCTTCCAAGCTGACTTAGTGTATTAAAAATAATAAGTGCTCAGATGAATATTTTTGCATTTATAATGCTTGTGAATTAGGGTAATATTGAGAAAATCTGCATAGGTTGGACATATTGCTAATAAGAGACTGATCTATTACAGTCCTAAACGTTAATGAGAAGCTAGACCACCAAGGAAAACCTTAAGGCAGTGAACGGCCGTTTCGTTATATTGTGGAACTCCTCAGCAGTCACCAGTGGAGTTAAAAACCACGTCTGTTGTGAGATAGGAACTCACTGAAGACAATTGGTGAACGGTCACTCAACTTCGTGGATTGGTTGGAGTTAGACATAAACACCAGTGGTCTATCGGTTAAGCGCTCTGGCGCGAGACTGGTAGGTCCTGGGTTCGAATGTCGCGAGTGCGGGATCGTGGATGCCCACTACCGAGGAGTCCCACAATAGGACGAAATGGCCGTCCAGTTCTTCCAGGTTTTCCTTGATGGCCTAGCTTCAATTGACTCATGCTTTCAACTATGAAAATACTAAATTTCCACAAAACCCTTCTAATAATGTTAATGAGAAGATTTAAACAACCAATGCGCCAAAAATGTCTGTATTTGGTTTTACACTACTTTATATTTTAAAGTAGTTTAATTATTTATGTATTGTTTGTTTGAACCTTCCGATTTATGTTTAGTACTGTAATTGATCAATCTCATATTGGAATATGTGCATCCTGTGTAGAATACCACGATATTACTTGAAGTTAAGAGGATTGTAAATAAAGATGTATTGCGGTTATCAATGTAATCTAGGTAACACATTTCGTCCTATTCGGAACTCGTCAGATGGATTAAGACTTCACACCATTGAACAAATGAATAGCTGTCTGAACTCAGTAGTTAAGTGGATCGGGAGATGAAGTTTGAAGCGAACTGTACTGGGTTCGAGTCCCTAAGTGTATCCGGCTGACGAAACGCGCTCCCCGGATTAGATTGCTAGCCACCATCTATCTTTGTTTACAACGTTTAGTGATAAGTGGTAATTTAGGAGACATTGCCCTGTTGAATACATTTGACAGTAGGGAATTCTTAACATAAATTGTGAAGTATTGCAATAAGTCTCTCTTTACCATACGTAAATACTGTAGTTATCCCAAAGTTACGTTTTCTAAATATCTTTTTAGTGGTTAGTATCTAGTTTCAGAAGTTATATGTTTAAAAATTAAATTCATGTTTTTTTGTGTGGATTGATATTTGCGATAACATGTTATGTGATTCGACTGTTAAGTTGTATTCGTGCACTCAAGGATGGAGTAAGGCCATAACGATGTTCAATGCGGTCCAATCAATAATCAATAGATAGTCCAACATAGACTCTACTTATCAATCATGTGGCCACATGTCAATCAATCTAGACAACTAATAGGAATACATAAACAAGTGAGACTGACAGAGCCATATAAAGCCACAAGTTAAAGACAAGAGCAGTGTGTATTCATGACCCCAACGAAGAGGATCAAAGCCAGAATCTTCAGCCTAAGTGACAAACGACTAAACTTTAAACCATTGGGCCAGCTCCCAATTGTTTACATCCCTGCATAGAAATTTTACGCTTACTTTTTTATTTAACTACAATTCAAAGGTAAAACTATTCAGTTACAAACGAAAGTCTTACTTTCATAAGATATTGAATACAACAACAGATAGATTACTTCTTCATTGTCAGTTCTACAAAATTGTACAACTGACTGATCATTGAGTAGAGAATAGTATCATGTTTGTCTATTCCTTAAGTTCAATGTAACCATTAACTCAAATGATTTGGTATCTTCAGCATTATATTGAGATCTAAAGTGGTTGAAGGTAGTGGAAATAAAACACAGTCTTGCAAGAGGTCAGTCACTGTCTTGAATAAGTCAATGGCAACATCACAGAGTAAGAAACTGGATGATGTGGGTTCGACTCCAACAGATAGTATCAATTCATTTAAGATTATAAATAAACTTTCCTGATAACACATAATGTAGGTCCAGCTTTCCCTACCAACTACCATAAACTACCTAACATTTTTAAAGGACTATGCTAACTAAGCATATCCATCATGTTATCTAACCATCAAATTATACTTACAGTTAAATAATGAACTATTCGAGACACCAATCTATCGGCAATAACAACAACCAAATATTCAAACAGTTATTTACAATCTGACTAATTGTTTGATAGTCTGAATATATTTTACTTGAAGAAAAGAATCTGGAGAACTACAACAACCATCATCAATAAGGTACAAGTATTTGTAAGTAATTGTCTACGCAATATATTCAACATCTATTGGCCCGATACCATCAACCACAGCTTTTTATGGGAGAGAACAAATCAGCTTCCAGTTGAAGAGCAACTTAAGGAAGGACGATGAAAGTGAATAGGATATACATTGAATTGATCACCTAACTGCATCATGAGGCAAGTGCCAACTTAGAATTTTGAAGGGAAACAGAAAATTAAAAGACCAAATAATATATTGTATCGTGATTTGAAAAATATGAATAGTAACTGGAAAATATTATTCAAGATAGAGTTAAATGAAAAAATATTGATGAACCGCCTTTTATTTCTTTACAAGTAGTAACAAGTAACAAGACGACACTATGGAGGCTTCTTCGACACTACGGCTTGCCTGAGAAGATAGTCAATATCATACGGAACTCCTATGATGGACTAAACTGCCAAATCGTTCACCGAGGACAACTCACCGACTCGTTTGAAGTAAAGACCGGTGTTAGGCAAGGTTGCTTACTCTCACCCTTTCTCTTTCTCCTTGTGATCGACTGGATCATGAAGACGTCAATATCTGGAGGAAAGCACGGGATACAATGGACAGGCAGGATGCAACTTGACGATCTAGACTTCGCAGATGATCTGGCTCTTCTATCACAAACGCAACAACAAATGCAGGAGAAAACGACCAGTGTAACAGCAGCCTCAGCAGCAGTAGGTGTCAACACACACAAGGGGAAAAGCAAGACTCTCCGATACAATAAAATAAGCACAAATCAAATCACACTTGATGGAGAAGCTTTGGAGAATGTGGAAACCTTTACATATCTGGGCAGCATCATTGATGAACATGGTGGATCAGATGCAGATGTGAGGGCGCGGATCGGCAAAGCAAGAGCAGCATACCTACAACTGAAAAGCATCTGGAGTTCAAAACAATTGTCAACCAACACCAAGGTTAGAATTTTCAATACAAATGTCAAGACAGTTCTACTGTATGGGGCGGAGACGTGGAGGAGTACGAAAGCCATCATCCAGAAGATACAAGTGCTTATTAGTGGCTGTCTACGCAAGATACTTCGGATCCGTTCGCCAGACACTATCAGCAACAAGTTACTGTGGGAGACAACAAACCAGATTCCAGCAGAGGAAGAAATCAGGAGGAAGCGTTGGAAGTGGATTGGGCACACTTTGAGGAAATCACCCAACAGTGTCACAAGACAAGCCCTCATATGGAATCCTGAAGGTCAAAGGAGAAGAGGAAGATCAAAGAACAC